TGGTGTTGGAGAAGACTCTTGAGAGTCCCTTGGACTGCAAGGAGATCCAACCAGTCCATCCTAAAGGAGATCAGTCCTGGGTGTTCATTGGAAGGACTGATGCTAAAGCTGAAACTCCAATACTTTGGCCACCTCGTGCGAAGAGTTGACTCATTGGAAAAAACCCTGATGCTGGGAGAGATTGGGGGCAGGAGGAGAAGGGGACGACAGAGGATGAGATGACTAGATGGCATCACCAACTCGATCGACATGAGTTTGGGTAGACTCCGGGAGTTGGTGATGGACAGGGAGGCCTGGCATGCTGCGATTCATGGGGTCGCAAAGAGTCAGACACGACTGAGTGACTGAACTGAACTGAACTGAACTGAGGATTCAATCCTTAAAAAGATGGGCACTGAGAGGAAAGGGGACACTCCTGGAGAGGAGAAGGTTAATTGACCATTGGTCAAACCAGAAACAAGGGGGCATTGATCAGTTTCACAGGAAGAGCTGCTACAGTTTGTACAGAAATCATTGCTCTGCTCAATTCAGAGGAGAGTTCAGCATCTCAAGGAAAGGATGTCATTGCCTGGCTCTCTCCTTCCTCTTCCTTTACCTGCAATGTCAGGTAAAGTGACATTGAGCAGACAGAAGCCAAGCTTTCCACTAAGAAGGTGCACTTTTGGAAGCAGGCCTGCCTTGGGCATTCCCAAGATCTACTGGTGAAGATCATCTTGCTGTTTATTGTTTATTTTTGTGGTTCAGTCTCTAAGCCATGTCTCTTTGCAACCCCATGGACTATAGCACAGCAGGCTTCCCTGTCCTTCACTAGTTCCCAGAGTTTGTTCAAATTCATGTCCATTAAGTCAGTGATGCCATCCAACCATCTCATCCTCTGCTGCCCCCTTTCCCTTTTGCCTTCACTCTTTCCCAGCATCAGTATCTTTTCCAGTGAGTCTACTCTTCACATCAGATGGCCAACATATTCAAGCTTCAGCTTCAGCATCTGTCCTTCCAACAAATATTCAGGGTTGATTTCTTTTAGGATGGACTGCTTTGATCTTGCAGTCCAAAGGACTCTCTAGAGTCTTCTCCAGGACTGTGTATGTCTTGTTTGCTGGACCCGAGAAACTTCTACTGCTGGTCATGGGAAGTTGAAAATAAACACTCCTTCTTTCAGCCTTCACTCACCAGGTTCAAACTTTGGAGCCCAGGACTCAGGAAACCTGCTCCCAAAAACATAGTAGATAGGGATATTTTTTCCCTAACAAATGTTTAAGTAATTTGGGAGCAGTCAAACAACATGTCCTTCCTAGTAAGAGAATAAGAAAATTCTGCATTCTGTTTACTGGGGATGGGAGATCCACATTATCGAGACCTGCCCAACGAGAGTCTCACGTTGACAGGGTGTCTTGGGTCACACAGCGCTCCGCTTCTCGGAGCCTCCAGGGACACGGCCACTTACTGCACAAGATGTTCATGTACTACAATTAGAATTAAGTGAGCATATGGCAGGAAAAATCTGCTCACAGGAAAAAAATAAAAGAAAACTAATATCGCAGGGAAATGGTGCAATTTAGGCAGAGTTGCGAGTCTGTGGACACGGCGATGCCCAACCGGAGGATGGAGAGCAAGGGGCCACCCTGGGGAGGATGGCAAGTGCTGGGAGTTCAGACCACCCCTGGCTTCTGCCTGCAACCAAACATCCAGCTTCCTGTCCCTACTGATGTTGGTATCTCCTGCAAGGATTAAGCAAACAAGGTTCCTCACTTAGAAGAATCAGTCCTTTTAACTAGGAGTGAAAGATACTTCACAGAAACAGAATTAGCATTTTTTTTTACCTTGACTTATATTTTAGTTACTCTGGCTTCAAAAAGAATTTCATTGAATGCTTCCCCAATACAACTCATGGGTCATAAAACCAGGGAACACCCAGGCACCTCCCATAAGGAGGCAGGACAGTCATGCTAACAGACTCATTCATCAAAGAAAGGCTTCTCAGCTTTGCAAAACATGCCCTTTCTTCCTCTAGTCACCTTGTAACTATCAAACCAGCCAGAAAGTTGTCTCTAATCTCTGTTACTTGCCAGCTTTGGCTCTAGATGAGCTGTCCAAGGGAGCCCCAGACTGTGACATCTGGCTCTAGTGAAGGGAAGCTTGTTGTTAAATATGACCCTCCTTTGGTCCAGTGTTCTCACAAATAAAATCCAATTTTGCCGTGCCGGTTTCTAATTCAAGTTCCTGACAACGATCTCACTTAGCTTCACTTCACTAACCACAAAGAATATGGAACTCAACACAAACCAGTAACAGGACCTGGAAAACACTTGTGGTGACGCTAATCTGCCACACCTCCAGTCTGCATGGCCCCCTGCACCCCCTCCCTGAATCCTGGCCGGTCTGGAGTAGACAATAACATGTGACACAGTCAGACAGGGTCAGGCCACCCCAGTGACCTCATGTTAACCTGACTCCCTTGCATGCGGAGGTCCTGGGGGTTAAGACTTCAGCACAGGGATGGGATGGGGGATAATTCCACCCATAGCAGCATCTTATATTTCTTGGTGTTTCTAGCTGTTAATGTGTAGGTCTCTTTGGAAGTGAGAGAGGAGCCATCAAGTCCAGAGAGGGAGAGATAGGAGAGAAAGAAACAGGGAAGAAAAGGATGCTCCTGTGTATAGAAAGAGAAGGAGAAAGTTTACAAAGAAGATGTAGGCAGGAGACCAAAGGCTATGGGGTAACTCTGGTGAAAGAGTGAGAAAAACTACCCTATGGGAGCTCCCCACTGCTCCAAAAAGGTGACTCCCAGGACGGCCATCAACTGGAGGAATAAGAAAGAATTAAGATCGTGAACAGTGTAGAGAAGACCGGTAGTCAATGTGGGCGGGGGGATGGGGAAGAAAGTTGTCGGCAGGATATGAAAAGTGGTTGAAAGGCTGGAGCATCAGAAAGAGAAGGAGGAAGTAGAGGAGAGATGCTGAGAGTGTGACTGAGAGATGCAGCTTCCGGGAACCCTTACTACACGTCTCACTTAAAATGCTGGCAGAGAAACAGACGGACTTTAATTCTACTGAAAGAAAGTGAAAGTGAAGTCGCTCAGTCATGTCCGACTCTTTGCGACCCCCTGGACCAGGTTCCTCCTGACTTTGCGACCCCCTGGACCAGGTTTCTCCGTCCATGGGATTTTCCAGGCAAGAATAGTGGAGTGGGTTGCCATTTCCTTCTCCAAGAGATCCTCCTGACCCAGGGACTGAACCCCGGTCTCCCGCATTGTAGACAGATGTTTTACTATCTGAGCCACCAGGGAATTCATTGGTAGGTTGGTTAATTCTACTACTCTGATGATTACTGGC